CAGATTTTAGATGCTCTTCCTCTAAAATCAAATAAATAAATCTCACATGAAGTCAAGCATCGAGGTAATGTGCTTTTCTAAATAAGAACAAATGGCCTCATTGTCTTTAATTGTTACAAAAGAAAACATGCATGGGTATGGTCATTGTAATGGATGTGATGTCATTAAAAGACTCACTATGTAGGCACAGGTTGGGCTGAAGGCGTACGTTCCACACACGTACAGGTGAGTGCTGTTGATGCGGAGTAAAATCTTGATGTAGTTGAAACAATCTCTCTGTATTAGAAACACAAGAAAAACTTTTAATAAAATTAATTACATCATTTTGTTCCCATTTGCAAATATCAACAAAAATATTGAGCGAAGTGGAGTGGAGCTAACGCTAGTGTGTAAATGCCATTAGATTGGCTAACAGCAAAGCAACTCTAACACTGACTCCATTTACTTTGCAACGTTGAGGTTTTATTTCTCTCTGCTGTGTGGTGGAGCTGCTAATGCTAACGGTTAGCTTCTACTAGCCGAGGCATTCTCTGCTGTTTCCTGGATGCTAAACCTACAGCAGTCCCTGTCGTGAGTCAAGATGGGTGAGTCCATGAATGTTAAGTGACAGTGTGACGTAGATCTGTACAGCTAGCATTTCACTGTCCATTTTCAATCAGAACTAATGCAGGAAATAGGGGTTAAAGACAAATTTCACGTTCAGCCTGCATGAAAAACTCAGAGTGACCGATTATAATCAGACATAATAATAAAAAATTATGTTTTAGTGAAGTGGACACACCGACACCAATATGTCTTCATCATAATCCATGATTTTAAGTATTTATCTGAAAATTATATTTATAAATTATAAATTTATATAAAAAACTAAATCGAAGGATGACTATTTTAAAACCTTTTCATCGTTATTGGTTAAATTTACATGATTATTAACAAAATGTCATAGTTATTTGCGATTAGCCGTAGCACTTCAGGATGACCCTGGGTCAATTCCAGCAAAGAGAGGAATTGTTTTAAGTACCAGAAATCTACTCAGATGAACTATTGTCTCATCAATGCAGTCTGATCTGAGCTTTGTTTGGTGAGTTAACTACAGCAGGCTAATTGTTCATAAACTTAGGCTATTGCTTAACTAATTCCACTTCCTGTTTAGCTGCGCTTGGGTAATAAAAGGGTCTTGGCTGAAAATAAATAGTGTGACAAAATAAGTAGTGTTGCAGAGGAAAAGAGTGATTGAATGGAAGAGAAAATCCATTATTGTAGAATGAAAATTTGACAGGAAGAGTCCAGGGTCTGTTTCCCAAATGTCTCCGACTTCACCAAAAATATGCCCTGCAGTCATGTAACTAGTTCCATCCCTGTGAGTTCAGCTACTGTACGTGCACTTCAAACCAGCTGAGGACTCGCCTGAAGATCTTTGCCTTTGAAACTGCATTCCTTCCTCTTGGTCTCTGGAGTTTTCCATGTGAGCTGCAGGAGCAAAAAACCCAAAAACGGTTAGACTCATACTTTATGGGGTAACGTTTGTACACAGTAAGAATGTTAGGAAAAAAGATTTTAAAAATGGGTGTTTGTTTTTTAAAGTCAGATTTTCATTCAAATATTTATAAATGCCACAGTTCCAGAATAAATATTTTTTTGGCAAGCTGAACATTTAATTTGGAGCCAAGTAAATGTTTAGGTTAGACCTAAATATGTATCTTCCAAATTAAATATTTAATTTTAAAACTAAATATTTACTTTGGATCTAAATGTTTAGTTTACAAAAATGATCAACTCAAAATAAATTATTTAGTTTACAAACTAAATATTTAGCTAAAAATAGATTTTAGTTTACAAAATACATTTTTTGCTACAAACTGAATATTTTGTTTACAATTTTTTTTGCTCCAAAATAAAATTTCAGTGATGAAAATAAATAAAACATTCCAAATGAAATATTTTATTTAAAAATCAAATATTTAGTTCATAAAAAATGCTTAGCTCAAAGTAAAATATTTGATTTGCAAACTGAATATTTTGCTAAAAAAAGAATTTAGTATACAAAATAAACGTTTATCTACAAATGGACAATTTTATTTAGTTTATTTAACTAAACAGTTTGCTCCAAAACAAATTTTAGTGATGAAAATAAATTATTAGTTCCAAATTGAATATTTAGTTTGGAACTGTGACATTGAAAATATTATGCTACTGTAATAACATGGTGAAAATAATGACTTTGAAAAATCAATTCCCATCCAATAATATTGTGCAGAGGTGTTTTATACTAACAGGCATTTAGGATTCTTACTTTTTTTTATTATTATTTTACCAAATTAACACTTCATCATCAAAGATCCAACATATCTGTTCATATCTGTGTGCTTTATATCACAGTTACAGGCTGCTGTCACACTGACTCTTACACTTCTTTGTAGCTTGGGTGCACTGATATCAGAGAGGTTGAGAGCAAAGAGAATCTCCCGAGCTCCAACATACAACATGTTGTCCTCGCTACTGAGAAGGAGGGAGGTGAAGTTCAACACCCCGCTAGCTGAGAAACTTCTGATCATCCTCTCCTTTGCATCTAAACACAAGAAAGACACAGAATGTATGATTTGTTCCATCATTCATTCACCATTTATGACTTTCTCATTGAACCTGAACACATGAAAACAGGCAAAGATGCATATCTTCTTGAGTTTTTCTAATTTGACATCAGAGAAATGCTCTCAGAGAAGCCATTAGCTGTAAGTTGCTGTTTTTGAAGGGGAGGTAAAGGTTAAATTACCGTCTCTGCTAATCGTTCCTGCTGCTATCGAAGATGTGCAGCAGTTCAGACGCCTTTACGGCTGGCCCAGCTTGAAAAACTTGCCTTAATTGCATGCCAGCATAAACAGAGCAGCGAGATGATGGAAACTTAAAGTGACTGAAGCTCTGATATGGGACCTTTGCTCTAAAAGGTGAAAACTTAGGGAAAGAAATCACACATTAAAGAGCTCAATTTATTGTACTCAAGAAGTGCTTTAATATTTTTAGCCTCTGAAGGGATTTTATGTCGGGAAAAACATCTTTTCACTAATGCTTTAGGGGCTTTATATTTACTGGGGTCAAGAAAGGAAACTTATCACTATCCCTTTACTTGAATATATAGTTATTTAAATTTCTGTTTGCTTTTTATTGATAGGAAATTCATTTGGAAGAGGGGACTTTTAGGTTCTTGTTGTTTAAAAAAAAATGCTAAATTAAGTTGCCTGATATAGAAATGCAGCCACGGAGGAAAACAGAAGCCTACGTTTTTATGTACAGGTTTCATTGTGAAGATGTTGCAACATCTGTAAGCTCTCGTGGGCACATGCTGACGTGATGAGCTTGGTTTAGGTAAGCAACAAAATTGTTGTACTTTAAATAGCTTTTAAAGACACTGTGCTTCCTGAAGGACCAGTGGACTTGGTTGATAAAGATACACATGATGGTGGTAACAATTAGACTTTCCTGCATCACATTAATTGAGTCGAGTCCTAAAGTTCTGATGAACCCTGCAGGAAGCGTGGCCTCACATAACCTCATCTTATACTAAAGCACGTTGAGAGACATCCTCTCCCTCAGGAAAACAACAAGTTAATAGCGATCCATCGCCACGGCAACAGCCAACCATACGGTAGTTAAATCCGTCTGTAAAACCACAAGAGGCCCGGCTTTTCGTACTGTACATGAACCATCGGGGACCACGGTCTCTGCTGTTCACTGTCACTGCAGGATAAATGGACCGTTCCCTCATGTCGGCACTGTCTCTCCCCCCTGATTTCAATCCCTTCCTCATGCAGTCTTGGGCAAATGTAACCATGATTTATAGAGAGAGATGCACAAGGGCCAAAGATTGAACCAAAACAATAGCCTTGATCAGTTTTTCAGGAGGAGGAATATCAACAAAATGCATCCTCTGGAGTCAGATTGTCGCTATCAAACGTGAACCAGAGTTAGGAACCAAAGGACCCAGACTGGAGCATCATTAAGGAGATCCAGGAGGACTTATCAACTGCAGAGCTTTACTTTATTATTTCATGAAGAACAATCATTTTGCAGAGTGGTCTGATGGTTTATTGAAACAGGAAACAGGAAAATATGTTTGTATTGTAATAAAATGTGATAAACACAAATAAAAAATGTTCCTGCTGCAAGAGACTATAGTTTAGGCTATAGACTTTGGGGAATTTTAAAAACAATTACGATGCTCTGCACTTGAAATGCATCTGGCGTAAAAAAGATCTTGATCTTTTTTAACATGAGTGGGAGTGAAGAGCACCGCTTTAGCTTTAGAAGAGCTCACAGGTCAAACATCAGGCAAGAATTTTTTTTTTCACACAATAAGAAAATAAAGGATTCCTGGTTGATTCTGTCCTCTCCTTCACTCCACACATGCTTGACTGTCAGGAGGGAGTAGGAGGGGATGGTTTAAGGGAAGCACTTAGGAGAAAGAACAGCTTGTATCTGTGGGAGAAGAGGACGTCATGTCATAACAGAAGAGGTAGCATCGCATTACTGCCTCCTTATTGTCAATTCTGCTTTTCCTTTTTCAGAACATGTCTCAAAAATGTACGTGGAGATGTTTGTCTCATGATTTGTAAATATGTATTAAACTGAATCTGATCATAAATTCAACATATTGGAAAGCATGTCAGAGATAGCTTGTTTTGTGAGAATACTTCCAAATTATTTGTTAGGTCTGGTTCATTCGCTTAACCAATACACTTGCAGTAGTCTCTAGGAATGAATGCCTTGCAAGTCATTCTTGAAGGGAAAAAGTACACCGGTGCACCATTTCCTGAACCTAAAACTCACCCACATCACAGCTGAGCTTCAGACGGCAGGTTTTGGAGTCGTATTTCCTGATATGATATCTCGCCTCTGATTGGCTAACAGCAACGCAACTTTACCACTGACTTGCAACGTGGGTGTTTTATCTCCACAAATGACACAAGCCCAGAGGAGCTTCTGCTGTGTGGTGGAGTTTCTAATGCTAACAGTTAGCTTCTACTAGCCGAGCTGTTCTCATCTGATTCCCGAATGTTAAAACACTAACAGCCTTCCCCGTCGTGAGAGAATGAATGCTAATTCACAGAGAAGCTAATCACATCAGAAGCTAATGCAGGAGATAGATGTAGGAGACTATTTCATGTTCAGCCCACATGAAATACTGAGAATAACCACACCTTTAAGATGTATATAAAAAAATTACATTCATGTAGGAGGTGTTTTTGTCATCGTGTTGCAAAAAGCAACAAAACATCTATCTGCACATCAGGAACAATGACCCTGTTCACTGAACTCTCCACAGATCTGTCAACGCTTTTATTTATGTTTTTCTAGCCTGGAATCAGTTTCATCTGCAGATAAACTCTGTGGATTTTTTTGATCTCTAGAAGATTTGAGCAAAAACAAATCCCAGCCTAGGATTTTATTTATGTATTTTTCAAATATCAATAAATTCTTGTTCCGTATATTTGGGAAAGGAGAGACTTCGGAGGCTAACATCTCGCCTTACCTGGGTAGCTTAGAGCTGATTGTTTCTCCCTCATTTCCCAAACAAAGAGCTCAACTTCTCACCTTTTGCTCTGTACTGATAACCTGCTGTCCAGCTGAAACCAATCAATCTCCACAAAAACGGAGCCAGCAGGCAGATCTGGAAGCTTTACAGCTCATCATGTCGCTGATAAGCGACCTCTGACCTTTCACTTTGAGACAGCAGCTTTGTGAGGTTACATCACTCCAACCGTGACCCTCTCTACAAAGACACGAACAACACAACCCCTGACAGCTGTAAGTAATACACGATCACTGCCATTATTATGTAATTAAAGGTAATTTGTGCAAATGACATTGCTAAATGGGCTGAGAGCTCACTTAGACTCACTTGATAATCTATTTAGAGAAGGAATTAATTATGATGATCTTGAAGGAAGCTAAGATTATCAGTGAAAAAAAAAGGTTGACCCCACTGGAGGGGAAGTGTGGAGTAATTTGTCCTTTACTGACAAACACTTGCGTCCAAACTATACCCAGAACTCTTGAAGACAAAACTTCAACCTCACCTGACTAGAATTACTATGTCACAGTTCACAAACCAGACCATGATCTGAAAAACAAAAGAACGCTGTCTCAAACGCTTTCATAGAAGCAAGACAATCACGATAGATTATCTTTAAAGGATGCCAGACGTCCTGTTGTAAGTCGTCTGACCATAAACACGACCTACATTCTCCTCTCTGAAGGAGAACGAGGGACCGCTTGCAAGTAATAATCCTGACAAAACGCACAACCCAAGTTTTAAACAAGGTCAAACAGGCAGAAGTGGACGCACAAACCCCAAGTAGATAAGATATGTCGTTTTTATATCTTCATAAAACAAATAGTTGCAGGGACAGACATGTATGCTTAAGGAAGAACAAACACTGCAAAGAGATACAGATAAAATTCTGGTTTAAGGGAACTAGAAGTGAACCATTAGCTGCAGAACCACCAGGACCCTGACTGCATTGTCTGGTGAAATTAAAAACAAACAAACAATATATATATATATGACAGAAAAATACATACTTGAGAAATAACTAGATTATCCCAAGTAATTTTTAAACTAGCTTTTAAGAGCTGCGGCTCAATGGATAATTGTGTGGGAGAATGTCTGCAGCATCTGGAGTTTATTAACTCATCAGGGTCAGTTCACCTAGAGAATTACTAGGAAAACTGTGAGCCTGCTGTTTGGGTGGATAAATTGTAGAGCTGAATCAAGTTAACAGCATATTGTCTTAGTGGCATGATGCTGACAATGAGATATTTACTCATTTTGAATTCAGGAAGGCTAGAAAGTTACGGTGGAAACAATGCAAGCAGCAGGGATTAGCATTAGCGGTGTGACTTTATAGTGGGACAGAGTCACCAGGAAGTTAATTAGTGAATCTGGGCTTGTATCTAAACAAGGATGGCTGTTTTCTCAGTGAGGAGTGATGAAGCATTTCACTTAAAATAAAATAAAACAGGTGAATTTATCGTGTTTGACTGGCCGTTCTGCAGTTACATTATTACTGGGTGTGAGCAGCGCAGGTCCAAACAAGATAAGAGGTCGTTGTTGACTTTTCGACCTTCGTTTGAGGTGTTTGTACCTTCCCTCCAGGCAGTCGTGATTTAAATGTGTTTTGTGGTTGAGCTGTTGAGTAAAAACAGAAGGATTTGGGCTACAAATTTTTTTACGATGGGCAGAAACAAGGAGACCACAATGAAATCTGGAGTAAACTTTGGAATTACCAAATAAAAGATGTGTAACATAATCAATGATATTTAACCTCCTAAGATCCTGTGTCCAGGTGTAGACATGGACTTTTTATGCTTTATTATTCTATTCTTTTCAACGTAGACATTTTTTAATATTTAGGGACCCTTGACTTTAAAGAGCAAGGCACTCTCAAATCACCTTTTTTGCTGATAAACTATGCTAATGAGTGTCTAATCGTGCAGTAGACTTTTGTAATTGATAATTTGGCTCTTTAGTGCATCTTAGTTAAAATTTAAATATTCTGCCTAAAACTCTCAGTGTTGCACGCTCTTTAGGTAAAAACTCTGTACTGAGATTTAATTTAATTCTGCCATCGCTACTGGCTAAGAGGTACATTATTATGTTAGCTGGTACCATGTGATGTCACAATGCCGTTGTGAGCTTGTGTGTGTGTATTTGTTAGCGAGTCCAGCCTCTCTGTCTGCCAAGCAACAGCATTTGTTGCATTTTTTAACAGGAAGTGGGAGTGGAGTAAGACTGGTAGGGGTGACTTGCTCTTTAAGTTTTGGATTATTTATCATCAAATCAACACTTGAATGCTGTGAATTCTGACCAATTTTTTTATCAATTGTCTCTTTTGTGCTCAATTTTTATGATCTTAAAAACCGAACCATCCCACCACTCTGAAGAGAAATTTTAAGCTGCAACAACAACAAAACACAATTTTTGTTACCCAGATTGTAAACACAATACAAAGCTATTGTATTTTTGACACTGCTGTCACTTTAAATTACTTCAAACTCGCAGAGTTTATATGGTTTGGACATGAAAACCTATAAATAATTAATTCTTTGTCCCAGTGTGATTGTGGACTTGACCACTGAACCAAAAACAAGGGGGAAAAAGTCACATGGTGTATCAAAAACAGAAAAAGAAGAGAAATGTAAACGGCCTCATAGGTGTGTCTTTTAAAAAAGTTCCAACACTCAGAAGCATTCAGCACGGTCTGCATTAGAGCCTTGAACAAAAGCCGACAGAACGGCAGAAGCAGGCTTTACTCCCTGAACTCATGATCCGTTCTGATAGGCGCATAATGAGAACCAGACAAGTGTTCACACCATAACACGTACAAATCCCCATTCATTGTTCATGCCAGATTACCCTCTTCATTAAGACGGCGACCAGAGTAAAGAGGAGGGGAGTTGGGTCTGCCAGAATGTTACCGGATGGAGATCAGCCAGCCAGAGCTTTGACCAGTAAGAGTTTAAACAGAGTAAGTGGTGATCAAACGCGACGGAGAATTCCAGAAACCACAACAAGGCTTGATAGTTTCTGCTGAGCAAAGTTCACGTCTCCAAGGGGTTGTAGATCTGTGTTCTGCTTTGAAAATGTTTGTACCAAGTGACAATGCTCTTCTAAAGGGGGCTGAAAAATGTCAGAGTAGCAGAAGTGATGTTACCACAGCAGGGGAAGGCTGCTGACCTTCATCAGCTGGTGGAAATTTAAACTTAGCCTTACAACTTCAACACAAAAAAACACAATCACCAACCACATAAGTCAGTGTAGGGTGTTCTATATTAAGGAAGCCCAAAAAGGCAATGGAAAAAATCTTGTAGCATTTTTCTAATTAATTATTCATTCTTTTATTTATTATTTGTGCAGCCCAAAGAAGCAAATGGAAAAAAAATATTGTGGCTTTATTTATTTATTTTTGCTTGGCCCTGGTGGGCTGTGCAAAAAACAAAAAAATTGAAAAATGCCACAAGAAAACTTTTTTTTTTCCGTTCGCCTCTCGGGGTGTCAGGGTCTGAGGTGAGTGGTCCTACATTAACACGCGAGTGCTTAATTGCAGGTGGGTGGCGCAGAGGAGCGAGCAGCTGTAGTTGATTCTCCATCGACTGGTCTGGGCTTAAAAGGACCAGGGAGACAAACCCACGTTGCCAGAGGATTGCATGCGTACCAAACTAACCCGAAGCTGTTGTGCTCCTCTCTAGCTTCTCGTGTTCCTAACCCCTCTTCCTGTCTCCAGGTAGACTTGCCACAACCAACTCTCCAGCCACGGACATAATTTTCACTTTAGAAGTGGGGTGTATATTTACAGTATGCTCTAATAGGAAACAGGCTTCAACACAAACGGCTGTTTTCCGCTTGGTCCTAGAGCTCAACCAGTGTCAATTTAACACAGCGTAATATTGTTTTTGGATGGTAAAAAGTGCAGGGGTCAAAACTTGACTTTGGAAAAAGTGTGTGTGGGGGGGCATGTCCCCCCCCCCCCCCCCCCAAATTACATCCAACTCTCCAGCCATAGCCACACGGACCTCAGCTCCTGACCAAGTCTTTCCTGCTGGGCCAGACCGACCCGCTCTCCACCACTCACCTGACTCTCGCCTGTTCTACAGAACCACTCTCGGGCCCAAGCCCCACCTCAGACCGGACCACCCTCCTCCCCGACTTCAACCAGCCCTTCCCCCCCTAACCCGCCTCATCACGAGCCCATACAGCCCCTCACCTCACTTCGACGGCGCTTCCTTAGTTCTCCTTATAAGAATACGTATTGTTTCTCATTTTGTCCTGCCTCCTGCAAGTGATTCTGTGTGTCCTGGGTCAGAAGACTTAGCCAGAACATGACACTGGGCTGCACAAATAACAAATAAAAAAATTCCTAAGAAAAATATCACAAGAAAATATCTTTTTTCTGTTGCCTTTCAGGGCTTTTGTATTACATCATTTTGAGAATCCTGAAAATATATATTCTAAAATAAGATAACATTGCAATGTTATTAACAGTTGTTTCTTAACTTGTAGATAGCTCTTTGCACATCCTCAGTCTCTCCAAGAACAAAGTGGGTAATTACCAACCTGCAATGGCCTAATTAAACATAAGTCATGGCAGTTTGTGTGAATGCTACTTTATAAATCTTTAAAACTCAGTCAGTTTTGTATTGGAGGATTATTCTAGTAGAAGATATGATTTTCTTACCAGAAGCTGCACTGGAGGGGCAACAGCTTGCTGCTCCTGCTAATTAAGCTAGCTACCAACAACAGGTTTATTTGTAAATACCAGTGTGAAATGAAACTGACAGTAAAATAAAAGTTGAAATAAATTGTGCTTTGGTTTAATTTTGAAACTGGAGTTGTTATAAAGTAACATTTTTCTCAACGTCCCTTCTTGGACCAACCGTTAGCTCATCGATCTAGTCAGAACTGATAAAGAGAATATCTACAAGTGGGAGGATACTTGTTCATATTTTTAGAGAATTATTTCTTACAGTATCAAATAAAGTGGATAAAACTCCAAATTTTTAAGTTTTAGGAATAATTCTAACCACAACAGTTCACAAAACTTTATAATGTCCTGAAATATATCGCTCATTAAAGTCAGAGCACCCCCATAAAGGACATTAAAGGGCTGCATGGTGGCGCAGTTGTTAGCACTGTTGCCTCGCAGCACGAAGGTTGCAGGTTTGAAACTCGGCTGCGGCCTTTCTGCGTGGAGTTGCGTGTTCTCCCCATGCATGCGTGGGTTTCCTCCGGGTACTCCGGTTTCCCCCACAGATCACAACATGCCCTATAGGTTATAAATTGTAAGTCGCTTTGGATAAAAGCATCTGCCAAATAAATAAACATAAACATAAACAATAACCACTATTTGACTTCATTAATTGTACAAAAGTAAACACAAGACCTAAAACAGCAACATATCTTGCTTGCATGCATTTGTTTCTGCCACAAAAGCATCTGTCTTCAAGTCCGTTTTATGGTTCCATTTAACGCTGGCTGCACGCCCTGAAAGCAAACTTTTTACACCCGTGACAGCGAAGTGTTTAAAACATCGTTTCAGAGAGTGATTGATGAGGCATGTTGTTGTGAAACTCTGCATTGTGATCTCTAAAAGCCAAGAGGTGAAAGAGATTGTGGGTTTAGGTAAAAAGTCCACGAAGGCACAAGCTCAGACAGGCTGCACGGCCCGAACCAGCCTCAAACTGCAACGGGAGTCCTATGAATATAAAAGCTCACTAAACTAGATCTATCATCACAATCCTCCCTGACGTGACTCTAATGAAGCCCGACTCAGTCATTTAGTGCAGTTGAGTCGCTGAAAGCCTCCGCTGATTCTTTAATCTCTCATTGTGTTTCATTTCCATGGAGATGCTAAAGCACAATACACCTTTAAATCCAGCGTGTCCCCTCAAGTGCATAAGTTTATCGCTGGAATAATGAAATCAGTCGTAATAAAGTTACTACTTGCTACTGGAGGCTTGTGAAAGAACATAAATAATGCTGCAAACAAGCTATAATACATTTTATTGAAATCCAATGGGCATATTGGATAGGTTTCCATGCTCGCAATTATTCAGCAAGCAGACACATGAAAAAATGCACGTTACATAAGAGCAATAAGTCTCCATGCCTGTGAGAATATGTCCAACTGCCTGACAACACAGTCTATGCTTTTTGTTATTGCGTCTAACCTGGAAGACCACTGAACTCATCAAAATCCCTGTAGATCTATGTGAAATGTGTTGATTTTCTGCAAACGGACCGAGGCATAGGTGAACATCTGTTTCTGCTGACCTCTGAATGCAAGTGTGTAAAGTTTCCCCTCTGGTTAGTTTTAAAGCAACACGAGAAGAAGCTTTTTTTTTCACTTGACTTGTGACTGACAGCTGGCCACGTGCTGCAGCTCATGCAACAGGATCTCATAAAACCCCAGCTGGAGCCTCGGGCGCCTCCACATCAAACACACGCTAGAGATGAGGAATCTGCACTCTGATGATTTTGGGTCTAAAACAGTCAAAATACCTAATGGAGCATTATTAAGTGAAACATCATAAAGAGCAGACTTACTGTATGAGAAGGTGACTCGTGGAGTGACATCATTTTCTGTGACAGCTGTATAAAAGCAGCCAACAAGCAGGACAGTGTAGGCTGGGAGACAGAGCCAAGCCATACTCATCATCCTCCAGCCTCCACCAGCCAGTGCGCTTTATTTGCTTTTCAAGTCTTTTTTTAAATTCATGAAAAACGCCTTTGTTCTTTTACGCCGTGTTGATTTTCCTCCACGTCCTCGCTCGTCCTGCAGCTCCAAGCACCTTGAGCAGGAGGCTAGTGGATTGCTGTGAAGTCAGAGGTGCTCCTTCGACAACGCAGACGACGCTTCTGATGATCTGGGTCCTCAGAACAAACATGAAAGCCTCCTCTGATCAGTCTCCATGAGTACAGCACACCGTAGGAAGTCAGCAGATATCTGTGAGGCAAAAACAACATTTCTGCAATATTATGTTTCGTAAACAAGTTGCACCGATCTCTGCAGAACTGAATCATGTTAGCTATGCGTCAAGTTTAGAAGAAGAACCCAGTTTTATTGTGCCTCTCAAGATAAAAATCATGAGGAACTTCACGAGAACAAAAAATAAAAACGTTTTAAAATATGTTATAATAAAAAATGGGAACATGAAAAAAATAGATTAAAAATGTGAAGGACAAAAATGAATTTTTATTGCAAAACCCTCTGGTTGAGCAACAACTCGGGAAAATTTACGATTTTTTCCTGCAAAAGTGAGTTTGATTAAAAAGCTCAAAATATTTTAGGATTTCTTTTTTGAATACTTCAGAACTTGCACAGTATTTGTCGTTTTTTGGTGGGATCTTTGCAGATCAACATGGGCAAAACCAGCTCTTCTTTATTCACATTACTTTCAACTAGGTTTGTTTTTCTGTATATTTCTAGAGTCAAATATTAATTGTTTTACATCAACAGAGGGAGCGCATTTAAAAAAAATCATTTTTGTCTTAATTCAGGTGTGAGCATGTGAAATTTCTTTGAGTTTCTGGCATGTGAAGACGTTTTCTCTTCACCACACACATAAAAAGTTTTACCATCCCACATCTCTTATCTGCAAACCCAAACAGCCCAAACATGCTGCCATGAAAAAAAAATCCGCTGAAATTTCCTGGAAATCTTTGCTTAGATTAAAATCTTTGATGCACTTCATGTATTTTTGCTCACACTAAGCTGCTCCAAAACCAAGTATATGTGCAAACATCATAATGAAAGTTTTCAGAAGCAAAAACAACTGCTAAAGTATTTAAATATACCTGTTAATTAGTTCTTCCAGTGTCACAACAAATCATGCAATTAAAGATATATCTTTCACGCTTTACCACAATAAAAGACATCAAAAACCAACACCTAGAATGCATCTGTTTTACCAGTAATGGAATTATGAGGCAGTTTATTGATATTAGTTTCCTAAACTCAGTGAGGCGGAAAGGATAACTCAGAATGGACATCCCAAATACTCCATTACACTCGCCACAAGGAGCTCCTCGAATGCAACCCACAGGATATTCGATTTCATGTGAGGTACTGCGATCGATAGCAGAACGCGTAGTGAGTGAGGCTATTCCTGGTTTCTATCGGGGGATCTTGACTCTTAGTCAATAAGCAGTCAGACACTTGTTACAAACAGAGCCATCTCCAGGATGATGTTTGGGAAGCAGAAAGGCTGCGATAATGACCAGAGGAGTTGACACACAGATGGTTATTTCTGTGGCAGGGAGAGACTTGAATGACAGGAGAAATAATATAAACATCTATTAACCATCTGAAGTTTTGGACAAATGCCTTGTGTCTAAGTGAGTCAGCAGACAATCATGTAACAGACAAGTAGGGTAACCACGAGGATATGATTAAAGTATTTTGTGTAGAAGAATTCAGTCTAAAATGCCACTTAAACACCTTCGTTTGACAGTCGGGGGGAAAAGAGAGACCTGCATGAATCTGAGCCTGAGGTTTGCAGTGAAAGTTGGAGAACAAGGACGCCTCTGACAGCGGAGGAATCTATATGCAACTCTGCACTTCGCCACTCTCCTGCATCATGCATAAACTGAATCATCCCTTTCAGTCTCTAACAGACGTGATAGTGTGCTCCAGTGCTGGATGATGCTCTTCTGATCTCTCTGTCTGCGATCTCTGACTAAATGCAACAACAGTTTCTCTCTGTGCTGTCTTCATAGAAACAGCAGCTCCATCGGTTCAGTTTTATTTGCTGGAGCTGTTTATCTGACCCAAAGCAACAAAAACTACAATTTTATGAATTTCTGCTCAATTTTTCCCAAAACTTGCAAAAAATTTAAACCTGATCACATTATATATATATATATATAAGTGTTCTTTGAAATACTCTCTTCTGTACTGGTGGGTATACAACAGATTTCAGCTCAATAGACCATGAGTAGGAAACAAGAGCTCTGACAGTGAGCACAATTATCTTGGGGAAAGGAAGAGAGCATAAAATAAAGGAGGACGATGTTCTTCTGGAACCTGGAAGTAAGTTTGTCTGGAGGAAAGCACTGATTTATGAAATAAATAAATAAACTTAAAATACGATGATGTGCAAGAAGCGGTTTGTCATGTTAAATTAAAAATATAATTCAAAGATTTAAATATGATCTTTTCTGCAAATTCGAAACATTTTACAGTTACAGCAGACTGCATCACAATTGAGAAAATAACTATATTTGACCAAACTGGGTATTTCCCAGTACCACGCCAGTTACTTCCTGTAACATAAAAAAACACTATTCATATATCTGACTGAACTGGCCCCTGAAAGCCCCGCTTACAGGGCCGGATTATAAATAGCTCTGCTGCAACAGGTGGCCTGACCCATTAACTATTCCAGTGGAGTAGCACGGGTCAAGGCTTCACGCAGAGAACGCTGCCTGGAAAAGTGTCGACTGATAAATATGACCTCTTGGCATGCCCGTCATTTCACAAAAGCCACCTGTACACATACACACATGGGCCACCTCTGACACGCCCCGGGTCACATGTTTCCACATGTGGCCTTGGCCCTCCGTGGAAGCACCGCCCTCTCGTTTTACCCCCACACTCTCTCAACTCCACACCACCGAGGAGGTGTGATGGAGCAGATGTAAACTGCAGGGATTATTGTCTCTCAGGTGAGGGTTGAATGCACCAGTGTGTGCTCGGCTGGTTGACCTCCGTTTCCTTTCGCAACTTAAAGACTGAACTGTTGGTTTTTGATTGTACAAATATAATCTATATATAAATATACAACTCTCATGTCTTATTGGTACAGCTCCATGCCAGATGCATTACCTGCATGTGCAAAATGAAATGAAACAAAAAACAAATGCATGTCCTTTGCTGCACACAAAGCCCAGAATCTCATCTGATGAGTTAGAAAACTGAAACAAAAATCAAACATTCTCTGAGTTTTCTTCTCATTAAGAATGTGTGTTTTCCTTCCAGCTCTCATTCAACTGAAGCTGTGAATATTTTTGATGCAAAATGATGCCTGCCCCGTTGTTCCTGAAAAATATAAATGCAGCTTTGATACATTCCATTAATTTTTATAGTGTTTCTACGCCTTGTGCGAGTAAAAATGCTGAAACAAAACTTCCTACAGAAATATTTTTAATAGTTGTCCCAATTTTTTTTTACACACATTTCATCCTTAGCTTCAGTGCTCACAAAATATAATTAAATAAATGTGTGTTTCTGAGATTTAACACCTTTATTACCAGGTTTATGAAAAACGTAAAGAAATAAAACAAAAATGTAATTATTTCTTGAGTGTTATGTCCAGAGGACTTGTTTTGGGGGTGGATTTTAACAGCTGGCTCTGCACTGTGGCACAGCGGTTAGCATTGTTGCCTTGCAGCAAAAAGGTCCTGGGTTCACGTCCTGGCCTGAGGTCTTTCTGTATGGAGTTTGCATGTTCTCCCTGTGTGTGCGTGGGTTCTCTCCATGTACTCCAGGTACTCCGTCCAAAAACATGACTTTCAGGTTGATTGATCTTCTAAAATGTCCTTGGGTATGAGTCAGTGCGTGCATGGTTGTTTGACCTGTGTGTCTATGTGTTGCCCTGTGATGGACTGGAAACCTGTTCAGGGTGTACCCCATCTGTTTGCCCAGAGACTGCTGGAGATGGGCACAAGTCCCCTTCATAACCCTGCATGGATAAGTGGGTACATGAAATGGATGGATGAATTTAACAGTCTTGGAGTGTGCATGGGTAAAAAAAATATTTTTTATTATTTTTTAAATTTGAATGTAGTGTCAGTCATTGCCCTACATGGGGAAAATACGCAATAGTGCAAAACAATAAAAACTAAATATTGAATCTGTGACAGATCTGGGAACCCAGACAGAATAATAATATTTAATATATTAGAAAAAAAAAACATTTATATGAGTCAATGACACAAAAAATGAATAAGGAGCAGGAAAGCTATAACATGATGTCAGCATCACATTAAATGGAGTAAGGGAAATGTTTTTATTTCTGGTAACCCCCCCCCTAAAATACACAACCTGTGAACAAATGAGATTAATTGCATTTGGAAAGTCAAAATTTTTCACAAAGACACACCTGTCTGCACCAAAAAAATTATAAAAATGCACAAGGAGCATTATAAAGGGTTAGGAAGAGAAAATGTCTTAAAACATTATGAAATCTTTATGCTCCACCAGACTGTTACACTCCAAACCCTCAGAGATTATTACTAATTATGTTACTCATATCAGTGTCACCATTTTTTTTTTAAGATTACAAAACTGGCACCAAAAGGTACGTTTATTTTTCTGTTCACCTTTACTGGAAAGTCTTCCAGTTTCACATTCAGTAAAGATGTGCCTCTTCTTTAGTTTTGCTTTGAGTTTTTCTATAATTTAATCTGTTCTCAAATGGCAGAACATATGCAGTTATTCTAGGCAATGAGATTAAAAATCAGGCTCATGTCCATGCATAACATTTACCAGTCATTGAAAAATGATAAACGAGAATGATTCATGCACGCGTTCTCAGACTAAAAGTGTGTGGACACGTTTGGATTTATGGTCTGTTCCCAGGTGTTGCAAATGTATGCACTAAAGCTGGACAGGGGAACAAAAAGCTTCTAAATATGTTAATGCACTAACTTCCCTGATCCATAAGTGGCTTTTGGGTTTCAATTTCAGGGAATATTAAACAAAAAAACAGATGTTGCCACTTCAGACTTGATGACTATCATACAGTGCTCTCTCTTCCTCCAGTTCGACCCGTTTTAGACCCAGTCCCCAGACCCAGTGAAGAATAATTAAGGACTTATTTAGCTCTGACTGAACCATACATCTGTAATTATGACTGTATGCTTTTACCGTAGACTTTTAATTGCCTAATTAAAATCTTAATCAACTATTGAACAAGGATAAGGGACATTTTGAACCTCAGTTTC